TCTCTAACTATAACTGTGGATTTGTTCACTTCTCCTTTTAGGTCTGTCATGTTTTCTTCACATATTTCATAGCTGTGTGTTTAGTACATTTGCATCTAGGATTGCTATGTCTTCCTGTTGAATATTTATCATTACTTAATAACTCTCCCCCTTCACTTATGGTTTTATTTGCTCTGAAGTCTGTTTTCTAATATTAACAAAATTACTTTTCTCTTTTTGATTGTTTACATGATACATCTTTTCTATTATACTTTCAGTTCTTCTTTATCATTATATTTGAAGTGAGTTTTTTGCAGACAGTTGAGTCATGTTTTTTACTCCAATCTGTCAATCTCTGTTGTCTAAGTGGTGCATTTACCACTTATATTTAATGTAATTATTAATATATTGGAGCTTAAGTCTTATTTTTTGTTTTCTGCTTATTCTTGGTTTTTCTTTATTTTCTTTGTCCTGTCTTCCTGTGAATTAGTTGAACATTTTTATAGAACTCTATTTTGATTTATCTGTCATCTTGGAATATACTCTTTATGTAGCTTTTTTAGTGGTTGTTGTACATATTACATTATAGATATAACTTATTACACTCTACTGCTATTATCATTTTACTAGTGCAAATGAGGTATGGAAACTTTACCTTTTTCTATATCCCTCTACCCATCCCCTTATAGCATAACCATCTTAAATATTTACTCTAAATACATTTAAAAACCATGTCAGGCTGTGCTATGATGTTTATTTCAGCCATCAAACTTTTTTTAAAAAAATTCAAGAGAAGGAAAGTATATTTTATCCATTTAAAAAAATGTCTTCCTTCCTGATGTTCCAAGATGCCTTCTTTCATCATTTCATTTCTGATTAGAGAATTTTTTTTAGTCATTCTTTTAGAGTAGGTTTGCTGGCAATATGTTCTCTGAGTTTGTCTTCATCCTTCATATTGAATTCCCTTTACTTCCTGAAGGCTGTTTTTGCTCGATATAGGATTCTTTGGTTGACACATTTTTCTTTCAGCATTTGACACATGTGCTACTTTTCTGATGTGAATTCATTATTTCTGATGAGAAATCTACTGCTAGTTGAATTTTTTTTTCTTTTCGGTGTTTTTTTTTTTCCTTTGTTGCTTTTAATATTTTTCTTTTTAAGTTTTCACAAGTATTCAAAAGTATGAGGTTAAAAGATTTCAAATGTGTGATGTATCTCAGTATGGATTTCTTTTGCCATGCTCAGCTTAGCTTTCCCGTTTCTCCTCTCCTTTCAGGACTCTGATGACACAAATGCTAAATCTTTTGTTTCAGTCTCAGAGGTCCCTAGGGAACTCATTTTCTTCAGTTTGTCCCCTCTCTGTTGCTCAGACTGAGTAATTTTTATTGTTCCATCTGCCAGTTCACTTATTGTTTTCCTCTGTCCCTTTCATTCTGCTCTTAAGCTCATCCATTGAGTTCTTATTTTGGTTATTGTTTTTTTTAGTTCTGAAATTTTTATTTCTTTCTTCCATATATCTTGTATTTCTTTCCTAAGATTTTGTGTTTTTTTTTCATTTGTTTTAAGCATATTCATAATTGTTCATTGAAGCAATAATTCTAATTATTGTTGGTATCTGTTGTTTTTTTTAATTGAGTTTGAGATCTTTATGGTTCTTTATATGATAAATGATTTCCAGTTGAAATCTGGACATTGAAACATCATTTTACACAGCTGAATCTTATTTAAATATTTGTTTTAGCTGGCTTCCTCTGGCACCACTCCAGCAAAGGAATGAGAGGGTGCCTGCCATCTTGTCACTGTCAGATGTGTATAGAAGTCCAGGTTTCCTTTTTGGCCTCAGTTGACCCCAAGGTAATGGTGCTTCTCATTACTGCTGGATAGAATGAGAGTTCACACTTACCACGTAGTCTTTCTGACACAACAGTGGGGATGGCCTTGTTACTAGTGGATGTTGTTGAAAGTCCTGTCTCTTTTCTAGACCTCTTCTGGTATTACCACACTAGGAAAGGAAGAGATGACTCTGCTGGTTTGGGTTGAAGTCTAGCCTCCCCTGTGGTCTCTACTGACACCTTGTGGGTAGAGGGCTCCCTACTTGGCCTTTTCTTACACCATCCGAGTGGGTGGGTTGAGGTGGCTCATTAAAGCCTAGAGAAGGTTGAAGTCTAGGTTCCTCATCTGACCCTTGTTGGTGAGGGTGAAAACACAGTATTTTTTTCTGTGGTGTTGGTTGATGCACAGGCATTATTGTGTATAAGTTCTCTGTATTACTAGGTTGCCCCTGGTCCTTTGGTTAGGGAAAGCAGGCTTTTGTTGGTCCTTTTTGTGTCTGCACCTGTTAGTGTTTCTGGTTGCCAGGGTCTTTAGCCCAAATTTGAGAAAATTATCAAAAGGAAAGTCCAGGAACTCATCACCATGTCATACCTTGGGTATAAGAGCTCTAGCTAGTTCGCTTTCTTCCTCCATTCAGGGACTTGTGTTTTATTTATATAATTCCCAGGAGGTTTAGTTGCACTTGGAGAAATGGGAAAAGTACACCTACTCCAACTTCCCAGAAGCAGTTTTCTGTATCAGAATTCTTTATATTCCAGCTTACTCTTTAGAGGCACTTTTCTGTTCTTATTTTCTCTGAAGGTTATCTCTGTAACTCAAATGTAAATGCAAAAACCAAGATGACAAAGATCCTATTTCTTAAATCTTCAGCTTTAACGTTGACTTACTCATGTTTGTAGGGTGAGGATTTAGCTTATTACACTAGTCCCATGTGTTACAATGTTTTATAATTATTATAAATAGTTTTTTTGTTATTTTATAATTTTATGTAGTGAAGACTTTCTTGTTTCATTTCTAACAGTATGGTCTCAGACATTAGCTAATTTTTTTCTTTTTACTTATTCAAAAATATTTATTGAATAATTAGCACAGTTTTTGGTTTCCTTGATGAAAGTAATCATTATAATGTAATTCAATTGTTTTTAAAACTTGATAGCATTATAGAGCACAAGGCAACAAGGAAACAGCCCATTTTCACATTGCATAGATGTAACAGGGAGAAGATCTAGATTTGCTTGTAACCTGATGTAGCACTTCATTGTTGACATGAGTGTCCATACTTTTTTCTCTTCAAGATTAATTTCTCATCTAAAGCTAAAACTTTAACTTTGGAACAATATGTTTTAAAGGCAAAAGCATTTAATGTTTACTGTCTGCCAGCATTTATATTTATACACACACACACACACACACACACACACACACACACACACATAAGCTGTAAACTCCTATCACTCTTGCAAGGTGGTTGTTATTAACCTCATTTTAGAGATGAGGTGGCTGAGGTTGAAGGATTACTTCATGTTATGGAAAACAGAACCTGCAGAGTCATAATTTGAGTTCAGTTCTGACTTCAAAGCTATGCTTTCCTACTGTATCAAGCTACATCCCAGAAAGGAGTCTAAGCCTTGATTGAGCACATGTTTAAGGTGGTGATTTTATTACTTGTATGATAAATACACAAGAATATAAATTATGTTATTTAGTAGAATGTTAGTTTTGTAAAATTAAGTGATAAAATAGTAAATTTATACTCTTTGGATATGGAAAGATGCTTATGATGTTTAGTGATATATATTACAATACATCTCATAATACATAATATTATATGATAATGAGTAACTCTAACTACATGTCTTCATATGCCTAGGGAAGGATGATCACCAATATTTTAATGTTGACATGAGTGTCCATACTTTTTTCTCTTCAAGATTAATTTCTCATCTAAAGCTAAAACTTTAACTTTGGAACAATATGTTTTAAAGGCAAAAGCATTTAATGTTTACTGTCTGCCAGCATTTATATTTATACACACACACACACACACACACACACACACATAAGCTGTAAACTCCTATCACTCTTGCAAGGTGGTTGTTATTAACCTCATTTTAGAGATGAGGTGGCTGAGGTTGAAGGATTACTTCATGTTATGGAAAACAGAACCTGCAGAGTCATAATTTGAGTTCAGTTCTGACTTCAAAGCTATGCTTTCCTACTGTATCAAGCTACATCCCAGAAAGGAGTCTAAGCCTTGATTGAGCACATGTTTAAGGTGGTGATTTTATTACTTGTATGATAAATACACAAGAATATAAATTATGTTATTTAGTAGAATGTTAGTTTTGTAAAATTAAGTGATAAAATAGTAAATTTATACTCTTTGGATATGGAAAGATGCTTATGATGTTTAGTGATATATATTACAATACATCTCATAATACATAATATTATATGATAATGAGTAACTCTAACTACATGTCTTCATATGCCTAGGGAAGGATGATCACCAATATTTTAAAAGTAGTTAGCTCTAAGTGATTTTTAGTTTTACTTCAAATTCTTCTTTTTTTAATTTTTTTCCTAATCTTGCATTATTTTTCCCCAACCTATAAAATTATTTTTTTTAAATCTCCCAGGCATAAGCATTTTGTTTATAATTTTATTTGTTCTTTTTCTCCCCTTTAAACTGAATTGCAGATTGGGAAGAATTGGTTAATTAAATCTGCTTGGTCAAAGTTTTAATGGGCATGAGAGCTATTATTCCATATAAAGCTGGTTTTGCATTTTTTAGGCTATGAGGAAAATAAATTGAAGGACTTAAGTAAAATGTTATGAAATATTTCTTTAAGTCTGTATTTGCTATTAATTACCATACTTAAATTATATACGATTATACTTGATTTTACAGCTACTATTTATATTGCAGAGTTGATTACAAGAGTACAGAGATGTTGAGCGCAACATAAATTTTTATAGATGTGCATTACTCAGTAATACACAACTTTATAGTATTTGTGTATGTTTATAAGTGTAAAATGACTATTCCCCATGTGAAATTATTTAAATAAATATGTCAAAGTTTGTAATATTAATGGCAATCATCATAAGTGGTATTTTGGAACAATTATTGCTATTATGATAATGTATCTTTCTCCATTCTCTCTCTCTGTTTTTTTCTTTTGTAGGTGATTATAGCCTTCTGGTATCGTGCATTTGTGGGAATAATGGATTTACTTGGACTAGAAACTAAAACGTGCTGGAATGTCACCAGAGTAGAACCTCTAAATGAAATTCAAAGCTGTGAAGGCAAGTTTCTTCCTAAAATGCTGCTGTGCCGTCATTTATGTTTACATAAACATTTTGTAATGTTATGACTCACTTTAAGAACTATTGTAAACTACTGTGATTACTTTTTCTTTAAAACACTCTGTAACTGATTCATCTAAAAGAGTATTTACCTTCTAAAATAATTTTCTGAGGGGGCTATGTTTACTAATATTGTGTATTAATTTGGAATTTGAGTATTACTATACTTCAATATAAGGCAATTCTGAACAGAAGTCATTTTTCCACATCAGAATAAGAATATAAAAAAAGAAGGCTTGGGGTACCTTGAGTTATAGATTACACAAAGATCTACCTGTAATAGTTAACATAAAATTTAGTTATATCCACATATTTAAAAATCAGATAAATAATAATAGATTGATTTAGATAGAGGCTTTTTTGTACTCTCCCAGTCCATGAATAGTTCCAATTGTACTCTTCATATACATCTTCTACATTGGTACCTGTCAGAGACCCCCTTTTGGAATCATCTAACAGTTTCCCAGGATCTGTGACTGTCACTTCTGTTTAAGATGTTTGCAATTTAGCAGTTTATAATCTGAAGATAATTCTGTCCCTTAGAACTCTTGTTTGAAGTCATATATATATATGTACTTGCATAACATTTACACAGTTGTTTTTATTTCTTCATATTCTCCACATGACTACTTACTATATTTTAAAATATGTTTTTATAGACTTTTTTATAATAACATGAACTCTCAGAATATATACCAGATCTGTATTTCTGTATTTCCCTACCTTCCGTGATTGCCTCAGGTACTCTTTTATAATATCGAAATAGCATTGATAGAGGTTATTTGAGGAGCAGTTAGACTGTTTTTCTTTTTTTGTACAAAGCAAAGGAATTGAGAAATGTCTCATAAAATGAGAGACTGTAATGACAGTCGGCTTAGAAGGCATAACCTATTCTGAGGGATGGAAAAAATTATCTATATATGTTCTATATATGTTACATATATGGCATTTCTTAAGTTGCCACTAAGTGATAGGTCAGTGTTGGCACTTGGGACCCCAGAATGAACCAGGTGGGCATGGTGGGCCTTACCCTCATAGAATTTACATATTAAAGGAATGTTAGCGGTTACAACTGTGATGGATATTATAAACAAGGAAATCAGGTTGCTGAGATTGGGAGTAAGGAAGAATTGTTTCAAGAATAGGGACCACAATATTCAAAGTCCTGAGGCAGTAGAGAAAGAAGGGCAGACCTGGAGCAGAAAGAGAGAGAAGATTAAAAATGGTGTGAAGTGATGCTGGGAATGTAAGTAAGCATCAGATAATGAAGGGCCACTTACTGGTTAAGGACTTTGTGCTTTATTCATTGAAGCATTTTAACAGATTTGTATTTTAAAAACATTATTTTTGTAGTTATATGGAAAAGATAGTAAAGGAAAAAAGTGAGTTCAGTGAGGCCAGGTAGGAGACTACGGTGCTCTCAGCAAGTGATTGCAGGAAAGATAATTGAGTAATGCATGGATTTGGGAGATGTTTCGGTAGCAGAATTGACAAGATTTGGTAGTTGTTTTATGGGAGAGGGGAAAGAAAGTGAAGTCCTATAACACTGTTTGGTTTCTGGTTTAAGTGACAGTCACTTTGAATGGTAAAAGACATTCTTAAAGTAGCAGACTTGAATTGCTACATTAGTTTGATGAACCTGAGAGACCTCAAAGTGAGATGTCAAGCAGCTTCCTACATATATACATACAAGAATAAGAAGAAAATTATGGTCTCAATGTTGACTTGGAGTCATCTGTACATAAATGGTAATTGGAGCCATGGAAGTAGAAGCATTTCCTCAAGCAGTAAATGCAGACTGAGAAAGGAGGGCATGTAACAGAGCCTAAGGTGGTCCATCATTAAAGTGGGGAGGGTGAAAAGGAAGAGAACTTATTAGGACAGGCTGAAAACAAATGGTCAGAGAAGAAGAAAGAATCAGAAAGGCCATCCTTCAGATCTTGTCTCCACAAGTTACAGATAAACAACTTAGCAACTTACTTAAGCTTTCTGTGTTCTATGGTCATTAAAAAAAGTATTTTCATGCCAACTGACTTCACAGATTTGATTTAAGAATTATGTGAATGATTGTAAACGACCTAGTAGACTCATGTTAATATATTACACATATGCACACACAGACACACATGGTCTTATAAATGGGTGTCAAGGTTCTGGCTATACATAATAATGGGTGAAATAACCAGGTTATCTCATAAAGACTAAAATGTTGCCCCTTGAGGTCAGGGGCCATATCTTACTCATCCTAGAGCTTAGCAAAGGACAAAAGTAATGCCATGGATTTTCTCCTGTAATTCATCAGTGACTCTACAGATAGTTCTAGATACTGAACAGATATGGGTATCACCTAAATAAAGTGAAGTACCAACTATAATCATCACAGTATAATAATATACCTCATTAGGGGCAAGTATAAATGTAACTGGTAATACCTCAGGTAAGGGGAAAGTATACTAAAATAACTGAAAAGCAAATGCTTTCTGCAAATTCTTGACCTCTTGATTACAAAGCACTGAGATAATTATGCCCAATTGCTATATCATCATTTATTCACTAAATACTGAATAATCTGTGTCTTTTAAAAGGTTTGGGAGACCCTGCTTGTTTTTATGTTGATGTGGTTTTTATTTTAAATGGAGCAATGATGGGATTGTTCTTCATCTATGGTGCATACCTGAGGTAAGACTACTATATTAAAAGAACTTTCAGTGGACTTCCAATGACTCACTAACATTTGTTGATTAAATGAAAAGGATAATGAGATTAGTAGTAGGAAATTGATTAGTAGTAAGAAAGTTTGCAGCTTTGTTTTTTCAGAAGCTTAGCCAATATCATGCAACCAAAAACTAAAGCTGTCACTAAAATAGTATCTTAATCTCACTTATCCTTATGGGGATCTTGTTTTTTATCTGATTAAGAGTCCTTAAAGATTTTAATGAACACATCTCTTGATCTTGTTAACAATGTAAAATTAACAATGTTAGAGGAGACCTTTGGTTAATATTAGTAGCAGATTATTTCTAACTTGCTCTGTATATATGAAATAAGAAATCAAGAAAAGAAAATGTATGTCATTTGTGGCAGACACATGTTTGACAGCCTATCTTTTTCTTGTAAAGGTACCACAATTTTGTTAGGGATAGCAGTGTGCCCAGTCTCAGGTGATAGGTTGAAATTAACTACAACAATCATGTTTTGTTTCCCACTCTCCATTGCACCTTGGGATAGCCATTAAACTGGCTTTTCCAGTGAAAAATAAGATGAAATAAGCCTTGGTTATACCTAGGAAAGCATTTGTCTTTCTCACAAAGGGATAGATTCAACTGCCCCCTCTCTGTTTCTTTTTACTTTTACTTGGATGTGATGCCTGGAGCTGCTGCAGTCATCTTGCAAACATGAGGGAAAGTACATAAAAATATCACATATGTCTGCCCTAACATCCTTGTGTTGCTGAACCAATGCTAATAGACAATATCTTTCATTTTCTTGTTGAATGATATAATAAACATCCATATTATTAGCCACTTTTGTGAGGCATTTCTGTTTTTTTTTACAGCAGGATACATGCCTAACTGAACCACCAGCTTTCATTAGTATAATTCGTGTATGCACAACATTTAAACACCAGATCTAATCTTTCAAAGATACTGAGTTTTCATAGGGTCTATGTCTATACAGAGACCAATATGTGTGTGTATATATATATATACAGGAAGTTTTTGTTTTGGAAGGTTTTCAGCATAAAATACTATCAGAATTAATGAAAAATTAGGACACATTCAACATTGTACCAGTTGTTTTATCCCATAATCAAGAAAAAGTAGTAGCAAATATAAGGATTGGAAAAATTGAAAAAAAGAACCAAGTGTACTTAGAAGCAGATCTCATGATTTTAAGTAGAAAATTTGAAAAATCTATTGGTAAAGTATTAATAAGAAAATTTATAATGCTACTGGATACAAAAATTACACATTATAAATCATTATGTTAACATCAAACAAAAAATGAAATGTTAAAAGGATGCCATTTAAAATACCATTGAAAACATGAAATTCTTAAGAATAAGCCTTACAAGAAATAAATATGACCTCCATGAGAAAATTGGAGAACTTTAGTGAGAGACATTTAGGAAGACCTAAATAAATGGAGTACAGTACCGTGTTCATGAATTAGAAGACTCAATAATAAAAAGATGAGCGTTATCCTTACTAATTTATAGATTCAGTGTACTACCAATTTTGTTGGCCTTGATAAACTGATTTTAAAATTATTCAGAAGTGAAAAGAGCCTAAAATAGTCAAGACATTCTTGAAGAAGGTAGGACTTGCTTGTTAAATATTTTTGTATTATAAGGCTAATATAAATATGACGATTTTGACATGGCAATAAACAAATAGATCATTGAAATAAAGTAGATGCAGAAGCAGAAATGTACATCTAAAGACTATTGGTATATGACAGAGCAGATACTGTAAATCAATGGGTAATGATAAGCTTGTCAATAAATAGTGCTGGAATAATTGGGAGATCAGATGGAACAAAAAGAAGCTGGAACTATATGAAAAACAAATCCCAATTGGGTTAAAAACTCAAGTATAAAAGACAATTATTTATAGGAGAATATCATTATTACTTGGTATAAAAAAGGATTTCTTAAAGTGCAGAAGTCCAGCCATGAAGAAAAAAGATGATAAATTTGGTGAAAGGAATTTAAATTTCTCAAGACATTATAGAATGAAATAATAATCCAAAAACTGGGAAAAGTTATTGTGAAGCATATAACTGACGTAGTAACCAAGCATATATTCATTAATTTGACAAATACTGATTGAATGCCTCCTGTGATCTAGAGCTAACAAAACGATCTCTCATGGAATTGATATTCTAGGAGGTAGACAGAAACAGACAAACAACCCAGTAGAAAAATGCACAAAATATTAATGAATAAGTAATTCCCAGAAGAATTCCAAGTTACCAATAAACATGTAAAGTGTTTATTTTGGTGAACTACTATCACTACTTATCAAGAAAATAAGCCACAATGAATACTATTTCACATTCACTAGATTGGCAAAAGGAATTTTTTTCCATGGCAAGTGGACATATAAATTAGTACAACTATTTTGGAAAACCAGCATAAATTATCTAGTAGTTAAAGATGTAGATACTTTATGATTCAGCAATTCCAGTTTAAAAGTATGTACACTTATGAAACTCTTGCACAAATATACCAGAAAGTGTATACTAGAGTATAGCAGTATTTTTTGTAATAGCTCCAAAGTGGAAACAACTCAGATGTCAATCAACAGAGAAATGTACACATTATAGTTTATTAATTTGGAGGAATACTATACAATGAGAATGAATGAGCTATAGCTACACACAACATGGATAGATCTTACAAATGTAATGTTGAATGAATAAAGACAGGCACAAAATGAAAAACGTACTGCTTACTTCCATTTGTATAAAGTCTAAAAACGTAAAATGCTAGTATGATATATATATATATATATATATATATATATATATATATATAGGAGTGGTTAATATTGGTAATCACAAAAGTCAGGATAGTGGCTATTTCAAGGGGTGGCGGGTGGGGACAAAAGTTGTGATCAATTTTCTGTGTCAATGACATGGTGGTAACAAGGATATTCACTTTATAATTGTTCTATAAATATCTAGAAAATTTTACACACTTTTCTACATGTATGCCATATAGGAAAAATATATAAGCTCATCAGAATACTTTGAGGGAAAAGGATCACTTCAAGTTTATGTTGGCAGGCTTTTAACATGTTCTGTTTTTGAAAGTAGTTTGTATTTCTTATGCTTTTTTTAGTATGGAAAACATTACAAGAGACTAACGCTTCTTAAGATTAATATTTTCCACTGGGAGAACTACCCAAGAGGTGATGGTCTTCTCTGAATTGGTTATGCAGTTCTGGAACAATACAGGATTAGGCTCCAGTTTTTAAGAAGGATAAGTAGCTACAACAAATGTTGGCTCTAAATGTGTCACTAAAACCGAGGAGACTGGAAACGGTGGCATATGAAAAGCAAAGGAAATTGGATTTGGGGCGAAATTTTGTAATTTTTACCCTGGCCACCCTCCCCCACGGGTGCTTAACAAAATGTTAAACATACATAACTTGGTCCAGTCTAAAATTAATTGGTATTACTCCTCTTTTGCTAATCAATACAAGAAATTTTAGAACACTTTGCTTCAAACAGCCCCCTCATCTTACAGTGATCACTGTGGTTTAGTGCCCATATTACCCCTCCCTAGAAGTCATTACTGTTTATGTTGCCAAATCTTGCTTAGCTTGATCTTCATGTTCCTAGTTTCTATATGCAGCATTTGTTCTTGCTTCTCACATCTTTCAATTTCCTCTTTTTCCAAAGTGAATCCTTTGGATTCCCTTTAGTGAAATCTGTTAATAGTAAATCACTTTCTGTTAACTTTCCTCTTCCTTTGTTTTTGAACTTATTCCTTCATTCAATCATTCAAGCGATATTTATTGTCTTTCATATCTGAAGCTGTGGATACAGTAATGAGCACCATACAAAGAAAAGGCAACTTTACAAAATGGTTCTTAATCTTTGATCATTGGCCATTCTTGATCTGATTTTTGTATTCTATATTGTTTCTTTGGGAGCCAACAAAAGAATATTTACAGTAGCTTAGACAGTTCAAAATTACTGCTAAATGAAAATGCTGGACTCCTGCCTTCATCTCTTAGTCACTGAAATCTAATTTCAAAAGACAAAAAATGCCTCTATTTAGAATATTCAAAGAATTCAGTACACACTCTGAAGTGCTAGCGTGCTTATTAAAAATTATTTTATGTTTGTTACATATTTTATTTAGAAATATAAATATAAATATGTTATAAAATTCAGATTACTTTATATGCTTACCCATTCAAGACTGAAATATCAATTACATGAGGGTATTTTTGAAATTTTTTACTATTCAATATAGTTTAGTACTGTTATACTTTAAATCTGATTATAAATTTTAGGAGATAATTTTGTGAAAAATTCACTGTAATGGAATTAATTATGATTGTATGTTTTTTACAGTGGGACTCAACTTGGAGGTCTAATTACAGTAGTTTGCTACTTTTTCAACCATGGAGAGGTTTGTTTTCTAGAAAAAAATTTTTAAGACATAAAAGGGATGTATAGGAACAAGGAAATATATTCAACAAAACAATATATAATTGCATATTCCTTAGGACTTCTCAATATTTTAAAGAACCTTATGTTGTAAGCTGATATTTCAATCCATGTTGATCTATATTTTAACATAATTGGAATTTATGACATGAAATATCTTGCCTGGTTTTACATACCTATATGTACATTATATATAATTTGTAGAAAAAGGAAATGATGTACTTGTTTACTTCAGGTATTTTATATATGTTTTACTTGTACCAAACTTTATTGGGAGATGGTTGTTTTCCTCACAATAGAAGACACAAAATTGGAATTTGGAGATTTTATTATTTATCCAAGATTCCACATTCACCACATGATGAAGCTGGGTTTCCCAATCTACCTCTGTCTGGTTCTAAAACCTTGCTTCATGCTGCCTTTTCAAGTACACAGAATGCTGAGTTCAAAATAGAAATTAACTCACTAATTCAGCCAAAAAGGATATGATCCAGACCATCTAAAAGCAGCTCATAAAAAAGTTATTTAGAATATGCTAGATTCTTTCAACAAAAATATTGTGTATAGCATGTGCCAGACTCCATCTTAGATGCTGAGGATATGGCAATGGAAAGAGAGAAACTTACTGCTAGCTTTTGGAAGCAAAATATGTATGTAAAGTTTTTGTCCATTTCTATTGGGAAAGGCAGATAATTGGAAAGTTTTAAAAAATCAGCTAGACAAAGAAATGTAAAAATTATACAGATATACCTCAAATATTTTAACTTAAAGCAAAAAAATGCCCTATCAGTCACCAATATATTAATGTAAGTGCAAGACCTTTTCTTGGAGAATGTGAGACAGTTGGGTCTGAGTTGACTTTCTTATGCATACTATAATTCATTTTCCAAGGTTTATAATTCTGGCGTATTGAAAGAGGAGCAATAACTTTTAGGACTCTTGGCAAGGTTAGGAGTTTAGGTTCTTTCTAGAATTTAAAATTCTGGATATAAAACTTTTATAATAATCTCAGTTATATGTCTTAGAAATAGTTTTAAGCTATACAAAAATTAATACTTTCATTATATGCATCACATTAGTGATTTCCAAATACTTCTAGCTCTTAGAAATTTATAATCACCTCTTTTTTTTATTAAGGTATTATTGATACACTCTTATGAAGGTTTCACATGAAAAACAATCTGCTTACTACATTCACCCATATTATCGAGTCCCCCCATACCTCATTGCAGTCACTGTCCATCAGCATAGTAAGATGCCACAGAGTTACTATTTGTCTTTTCTGTGCTACACTGTCTTCCCCATAATCCCCCCCGGACCATGTGTATTAATCATAATACCCTTCAATCCCCTTCTCCCTCCCTCCCTAACCACCTCCCTCACCCCTCCCTTTGGTAACCACTAGTCCCTTCTTGAAGTTAGTGAGTCTGCTGCTGTTTTGTTCTTTCAGTTTTGCTTTGTTTTTATACTCCACAAATGAGGGAAATCATTTGGTACTTGTCTTTCTCTGCCTGGCTTATTTCACTGAGCATAATACCCTCCTGCTCTGTCCATGTTGTTGCAAATGGTAGGATTTGTTTCTTTCTTATGGCTGAATAGTATTCCATTGTGTATATGTATCCCCTCTTCTTTATCCATTCTTCTACCGATGGACACTTAGGTTGCTTCCATATCTTGGCTATTGTAAATAGTGCTGCAGTAAACATAGGGATGCATATGTCTTTTTGAATCTGAGAACTTGTATTCTTTGGGTAAATTCCTAGGAGTGGAATTCCCAGGTTCAAATGGTATTGCTATTTTTAGTTTCTTGAGGAACCTCCATATTGCTTTCCACAATGGTTGAACTCATTTACATTCCCACCAACAGTGTAGTAGGGTTCCCCTTTCTCTGCATCCTCGCTAGCATTTGTTGTTCTTAGTTTTCCATGCTGGCCATCCTAACTGGTAATACCTCATTGTGGTTTTAATTTGCATTTCCCTGATAATTAGCAATGTGGAACATCTTTTCATGTGCCTGTTGGCTATCTGAATTTCTTCTTTGGAGAATTGTCTGTTCATATCTTCCACCCATTTTTTAATTGGGTTATTTGCTTTTTGGTTGTTGAGGCATGTGATTTCTTTATGTATTTTGGATGTTAACCCCTTGTCGGATATGTTGTTTATAAATATATTCTCCCATACTGTAAGATGCCTTTTTGTTCTGTTAATGGTGTCCTTTGCTGTACAGAAGCTTTTTAGCTTGATGTAGTCCCATGTGTTCATTTTTGCTTTTATTTCTCATGCCCGAGGAGATGTGCTCAGGAAACAGTTGCTCATGTTTATATTCAGGAGATTTTTGCCTATGTTGTTTTCTAAGAGTTTTATGGTTTCATGACTTACATTCAGGTCTTTGATCCATTTCAAGTTTACTTTTGTGTATGGGGTTAAACAGTAATCCAGTTTCATTCTCTTACATGTAGCTGTCCAGTTTTGTCAACACCATTTGTTGAAGAGGCTGTCATTTCTCCATTGTATGTCCATGGCTCCTTTGCCTTATATTAATTGACCATATGTGCTTCGGTTTGTATCTGGGCTCTCTAGTCTGTTCCACTGGTCTATGGGTCTGTTCTTGTGCCAGTACTAAATTGTCTTGATTAACTGTGACTTTGTACTAGAGTTTGAAGTCAGGAGTGTAATCCCCTCAACTTTATTCTTCCTTCTCAGTATTGCTTTGGCTATTTAATATCTTTTCTGGTTCCATATGAATTTTAGAACTATTTGCTCAGTTCATCAAAGAATGCTGCTGATAGGGATTGCATTGAATCTGTAGGTTGCTTTAGGCAGGATGGCTATTTTGACAAAATTAATTCTTCCTATCACTGAGCACAGTATTAATTTTCATTTATTCATATCTTCTTTAATTTCTCTCATTAGTGTCTTGTACTTTTCAGGGTATAGATCTTTCACTTCCTTTGTTAGGTTTCCCAGGTATTTTATTCTTTTTGATGGAATTGTTTTCCTGATTTCTCTTTCTGTTAGTTCATCATTACTGTAAAGGAATGCAACAGATTTCTGTGTATTAATTTTGTATCCTGCAACTTTGCTGAATTCAGATATTAGATCTAGTAGCTTTGGAGTGGATTCTTTAGGGTTTTTATATACAATATCAAGTCATCTGCAGACAGTGACAGTTTAACTTCTTTCTTACCAATCTGGATGCCTTTTATTTCTTGTGTTGTCTGACTGCCATGGCTAGGACCTCCAGAACAATATTGAATATCAACACCATTTGTTGAAGAGGCTGTCATTTCTCCATTGTATGTCCATGGCTCCTTTGCCTTATATTAATTGACCATATGTGCTTCGGTTTGTATCTGGGCTCTCTAGTCTGTTCCACTGGTCTATGGGTCTGTTCTTGTGCCAGTACTAAATTGTCTTGATTAACTGTGACTTTGTACTAGAGTTTGAAGTCAGGAGTGTAATCCCCTCAACTTTATTCTTCCTTCTCAGTATTGCTTTGGCTATTTAATATCTTTTCTGGTTCCATATGAATTTTAGAACTATTTGCTCAGTTCATCAAAGAATGCTGCTGATAGGGATTGCATTGAATCTGTAGGTTGCTTTAGGCAGGATGGCTATTTTGACAAAATTAATTCTTCCTATCACTGAGCACAGTATTAATTTTCATTTATTCATATCTTCTTTAATTTCTCTCATTAGTGTCTTGTACTTTTCAGGGTATAGATCTTTCACTTCCTTTGTTAGGTTTCCCAGGTATTTTATTCTTTTTGATGGAATTGTTTTCCTGATTTCTCTTTCTGTTAGTTCATCATTACTGTAAAGGAATGCAACAGATTTCTGTGTATTAATTTTGTATCCTGCAACTTTGCTGAATTCAGATATTAGATCTAGTAGCTTTGGAGTGGATTCTTTAGGGTTTTTATATACAATATCAAGTCATCTGCAGACAGTGACAGTTTAACTTCTTTCTTACCAATCTGGATGCCTTTTATTTCTTGTGTTGTCTGACTGCCATGGCTAGGACCTCCAGAACAATATTGAATAAAAGTGGGGAGAGTGGGCATCCTTGTCTTGTTCCTGATCTTAAAGGAAAAGCTTTCAGCTTCTCGCTGTTAAGTATGATCTTGGCTGTGGGTTTGTCATGTATAGCCTTTATTATTTTGAGGTACTTGCCTTCTATACTCATTTTGTTTAGAGTTTTTATTGTGAATGAATTTTTATTTTGTTGATGCTTTTTCAGCATATATGGAGGTGATCATGTGGTTTTTGTCCTTCTTTTCCTTGATGTGGTGGATGATGTTGATGGATTTTCAAATATTGCACCATCCTTGCATCCCTTGAATAAATCCTACTTGATCATGATGGATGATCTTTTTGATGTTTTTTTGAATTCGGTTTGCTAATACTTTGTTGAGTATTTTTGCATCTATGTTCATCAGGGATATTGGTCTGTAATTTTCTTTTTTGTGTTGTCTTTGCCTGGTTTTGGTATTAGGGTGATGTTGGCCTCATAGAATGAGTTTGGAAGTATTCCTTCCTCTTCTGTTTTTTGGAAAACTTTAAGGAGGATGGGTAGTAGGTCTTCACTAAATGTTTGATAAAATTCAACAGTGAATCTGTCTGTTCCAGGAATTTTGTTTTTAGTTAGTTTTTTGATTACTGCTTCAATTTCATTGCTGGTAATTGGTCTGTTCAGATTTTCTGTTTCTTCCTGGGTCACCTTGGAAGGTTGTATTCTTCTAGAAAGTTGTGCATTTCTTCTAGGTTATCCAGTTTGTTAGCATATAATTTTTCACAGTATTCTCTCATAATTCTTTGTATTTCTGTGGTGTTCGTAGTAAATTTTCTGTTCTCATTTCTTATTCTGTTTATGTATGTAGACTCTCTTTTTTTCTTGATAAGTCTGGCTAGGGGTTTATTTGTATTGTTTATTTTCTCAAAGAAACAGTCCCTGCTTTCATTGATTCTTTCTATTGTTTTTTTCTTCTGCATTTTATTTATTGCTGCTCTAATATTTATTATGTCCCTCCTTCTACTGACTTTGGGCCTCATTTGTTCTTCTTTTTCTATTTTTGTTAATTATGAGTTTAGCCATTCATATGGGATTGTGAGTTTAGCCGTTCATATGGGATTGTTCTTCTTTCCTGAGGTAGGCCTGTATTGCAATATACTTCTCTCTTAGTACAGCCTTTGCTACATCCCACAGATTTTGCAGTGTTGAATTATTGTTGTCATTTGTCTCCATATAGTGCTAGATCTTTGTTTTTATTTGGTCACTGATCCATTGGTTGTTTATGAGCATGTTGTTAAGCCTCCATGTGTTTGTGGGCTTTTTTGTTTTCTTTGTGTAATTTCTAGTTTCATATCTTTGTGATCTGAGAAGCTGGTTGGCATAATTTCAATCTTTTTTAATTTACTGAGGCTCTTTTTATGGCCTATTAAATGATCTGTTCTTGAAAATGTTCCATGTGCACTTCAGAAGAATGTGTACCCTGCTGCTTTTGGGTAGAGATTTCTTTAGATGTCTGTTAGGTCCATCTATTCTAATGTGTTGTTCAGTGCCTCTGTCTGATTTATTTTCTGTCTGGTTGATCTGTCTTTTGGAGTTAGTGGAGTGTTGAAGTTACCTAAAATGAATGCATTGCATTCTATTTCCCCCTTCAATTCTGTTAGTATTTGTTTCACGTATGTAGGTGCTCCTGTGTTGGGTGCATAGATAATTATAATGCTTATATCCTCTTGTTGGATTGACCCCTTTATCATTATGTAATGTCCTTATTTGTCTCTTATGACTTTCTTTGTTTTAAAGTCAATTTTGTCTGATACAAGTACTGCAACTCCTACTTTTTTCTCCTTATTAGTTGCATGAAATATCTTTTTCCATCCCTTCACTTTTAGTCTGTGTATGTCTTAGGGTTTGAAGTGAGTCTCTTGTAGGCAGCATATAGATGGGGTCTAATTTTTTTATCCATTCAGTGACTCTGTGTCTTTCGATTGGTGCATTCAGACCATTTACATTTAGGGTGATTATCAATAGGTATGTACTTATTGCCATTGCAAGATTTAGATTCATTGTTACCAAAGGTTCAAGGGCTTTCTTACTATCTAAGAGTCTAACTTAATTCAGTTAGTATGCTATTACAAACACAATCTGAAGGTTTTTTTCCTCCTTTTTCTTCTTCCTCCATTCTTTATATATTAGGTATTGTATTCCGTACTCTTTGTCTGTCCCTTGGATGACTTTGGGAGTAGTTGATTTAATTTTGCATCTGCTCAGTAATTAATTCTTCTACTTTCTTTACTGTGCTTTTATTTCCTCTGGAGACAGCTATTTAGCCTTAGGAACACTTCCATCTATAGCAGTCCCTCCAAAATACACCGTAGAAGGTAAATTCTCTCAGCTTTTGCTTATCTGGAAATTTTTAAATCCCTCCTTCAAATGTAAATGATAATCTTGCCAGATGTATTCTTGGTCTTGAGGCCCATCTGCTTCATGGCATTAAATATATCATGCCATTCCCTTCTGGCCTGTGAGGTTATTATTGAGAAGTCTGATGATAGCCTGATGGGTTTTCCTTTGCATGTGATCTTTTTTCTCTCTCTGGCTGTTTTTAATAGTCTGTCCTTATCCTTGCTCTTTGTCATTTTAATTATTATATGTCTTGGTGTTGTCCTCCTTGGGTCCCTTGTATTGGGAGAACTGTGCACCTCCATGGCTTAAGAGACTGTCTCCTTCCTCAAATTGGGGAATTTTTCAGCAATTATCTCCTCAAAGACGATTTCTATCCCTTTTCTCCCTCTTTTTCTGGTACCGCTATAATATGAATATTGTTCCATTTGGTTGGTTACACAGTTCTCTCAATATTCTTTCATTCTTAGAGATCCTTTTTTCTCTCTGAGCCTCCACTTCTTTGTATTCCTCTTCTCTAGTTTGTGTTCTATTTACCGTCTCCTCCACTATATCTAATCTGCTTTTAAATCCCTCATTGTATGTTTCATCAGATGCTGTATTCCATAATGATTGAATCTCCAACCAGAATTCTTCTCTGAGTTTTTGGATATTCTTCTATACCTCCATGAGCATGTTAATGATTTTTATTTTGAAATCTCTTTCAGGACAATTAATGAGTTTAGTTTCACTTGATCCTTTTTCTGTTGTTTGTGGGATTTTGGTTTGAACCAGGTTCCTTTGACCTTTCATATTTGTATGTGGCGCCCTCTAGTGCCCAGAAGCTCTACTCTCTGGAGCAGCTCAGCTCCTGATGCAATGTCGAGGGTCACAGAGGAGCAGTGCTGGTGCCTGGGGGGAAGAAAGAGATGTTTCCTGCTTCCTGACTGCTGTGCCTGTCTCTGCTACCAGAACAAGCGGGCCATACACACAGGTGTAAGCCTCTGTGCTTTGCATTTGTAGCTGCCGTAGTCAGGCCTTCGCTCTGGCTGGCCTGATGCCAGGACAGAGGCTGCCAGGTTCGAGCCAGGTTTGTGCTGACTGGGAGGAAGGTGCAGCAGGCTGCGTATCATGGTGGGGGCCTTGGAGCTGTGTAGCCAGCCAGCGGGATGAAGTGCCTGTAGCTCCTGAAAGTTCCCAACCTGCTTGGCACAGTGTGCCCAGACAATTTTTTCCACCTGTCCTTTCACCTTAGCAGTAAGCTCTATGCAATCCTTCCCTCTTTAGCAGCCCTCTCGCTGTTAGGAAGTCTCTCAAATGGCCCACCTTTCTTTTGTCCTGGAGCGGCTGGATGTGGATCCTTGTTTTCCACAAGTGGCTGGAATCCTAGTTTCTCCAGGTATTCCGCCTGGCTTAGCTTTCCAACCCCACTCATCTTTAGTGCTCCATGCAATGTAGGTTTGTGCTCCCATAGCAGATCTCCAGGGCTGGGTGTTTAGCAGTCCTAGGCCTCCACTCCCTTCCTGCTCCTTTTTTCTTCCTCCTGCCAGTGAGCTGGGGTGGGGGAAGGGCTTGGGTCCCACCAGGTCACAGCTTTGGTATGTTACCCTGTTCCATGAGGTCTGTTCTTTTTTTCCAGGTGTATGCAGTCTGGAGCAGCCTTCTTTCTTTGCTCTTTCAGGATTAGTTGTATTAATTATATTTTCGTATTATATGTGGCTTTGGGAAGAGGCCTCTCTCACCTCTCATGTTGCCATCTTTACTACAATCACCTCTTTTAAAGGTTCTATTTCACAAATTCCGAGTTAGTCGTAATTACTTATAATGTATGTCTATACTCATTAAACTTGTTACGCATAAACCTTGATGTTTTTGAATGCCCTGGGTGACATTGGTTTACCTACCTTTTAGAGCATGTATACATCCCAGGGCCCTGGGATGCCAGAGCTAGAATGTGAAACTAGATTTTCATTCCCAGAATCCCCACTGCTTCTATACCTACCATATTGTTGTTTTTTGGGTTTCCTTATGCTTGGCTTCATACATCTTTCACTTGTTACTGGACTTGCTGGTTAATGCTCTCTACCTAATGGCTGTGTACCCATTAGAAGAGCTCCAAAAACTGAGAAGCTACACCAGAAATTCAGAAGTGAATCAGCCTAGTATTAAAATTGTTAAAATCAGCCCACCCATGATTTTTAGATTAATAATGTTTATTGGAATGAAACATAAAGTGAAGTTAGCATTTTATTGATTTCAGGCTACTCGTGTGATGTGGACACCACTTCTCCGGGAGAGTTTTTCATATCCATTTCTTGTAATTCAGATGTATGTTTTAACTTTTATTCTCAGGTAATTTTTATTTATAAAACAAATCTAAATAAATTTTAAGTTAAGTTTCTTAAAATATACCTCAACCTATTGAGTTATAGTTACCAAATTAGTTACTTTAAAAATAGAGTATCCAGTTAAGAAAAATAATCTAAAATTTCTGTGAAAATTGCTTTCCACTGAAGAGTCTAGGCTACAGGTTTTAGATATCAGATACTAGAATGTATATGTCCATATATGTTTAGTAAAGATTCAAAGGTTTTTGAGAAACTATTACTATTTTTCCCTTCGAAACTTGTGCACTCTCTTTGTTTTCCAATCTGTGGTTTTGATGGGGCAATAATGTATGTTCCATTAAAGAAGTGTTCTATGCACAAATGAATTTGGGAAATCCTCTGTTAGATAAATAAGGAGTATATATATATATATTCATATATTAATGCAAATTTCTGAACTACTGATGTTTCTAGCAGTTCAACCAGAGTTTCATCTCAACTGTTTTTCTTAGTTTTTTCTTAGATGAACTTTTTTTTGCTGGGATTAATTTTATAAGCATTTCAGAAATTAAAGAAGTATTAGAAATAGCAACAAAAACCTAAATAGCAGAATAGTATAAGTAATTTTATCATAGAAATACATTTCATAGAATGGTAGTGAGATCTCTGACTGAATGAAGTGGTGATTATTATCTCCTCCAAACACCCAGGGAGCCTAGTACTTCATTTACTGGTACCTATCAGGTTCTGCCTATAGTAAAATCATTTGTATACATATTTTCTTTCTTCATTAAAACTTTAAATTTGTTAATCAAGCACATGTATACAAATGCCTGCATACACACTTAATGTATTAAAATACCACTGGAAGGAGGGGCCATGCCATATTTATCTTTTTAACCATGGATCACTTAGCATGTTGCTATGCAGATACGTAAGGCTCTTGTATGTCAGTTTAAAGAAGGTAAATAGTAGCATACTGGGGTGACCAAGAAACTCCTGATTTATTACCTACATGACAAGCTTTTTCTTTGGACTGAACTTGGATTCAGGAATCTGCTTCCCACTCAGATTTCTATGTCTTTGGTCTGTACATTACCTCTCTCAGAGATTATGGTAGAGGAAGCTGCCCATTTATCCCCACTCTTTCCCCATTAAATTACTAAAATTATGGTTTATTTTCCATTTTTTTATTTTTTGAAGTGATATTAGTTTCATGGAATGGTTTCATGAAATGAAATATGTTAATTAGAACATTTAGGATTATATCCTTGATACTTTGTACCTTAGCAAAAGTAGTTTTTCTTTGGTAAATATAAAGTGACTGAGTACTTAATGAAGATATTTTGTGATAATATTACTGAACAATACGTACATTTAAAATTTTGTTTCTAAAAATTTATATTCCATAGTACAAATAATTTATCAAAATACAATACAAATTTTATTTTTAAAAGTGAGTTTTATTATTTACAGAAAATGTTTGCATTTCTTTTTCAAATGGTAAAAAATTCCAAAGCTTTCTGTGTAGAAGGTGTTGTTTATTGATATATATTATAATTGTAGAATGGATAATTTAACGTTTAATTTGCAGTAATTTAACTGTATTCCAAAGATATCTTTTTAAATCATCATTTTAATTTTTTTGTCTTTAAATTGTTCTCATAGTTGTTAACTTATTACTTCAATGCTTACACTCTTCTTCATTGCTTTGTGGAACATAAAAGTCGTGGTATATAAAATCTATTGCTGCTCATATAGGGTAAATACCTTAATGTATGCACAAATCAGTTTCACATTCTATTTTCTTTCCTTGTTGAAGTACTAATTTCTAATATCATGCACAGTAAGAGGAGAATAATCTTTTGTGTTTAAAATACTTTACTGATAAACTAGATACAATATTTTGTTTAAAGCTTTCATTTTGATTGTTTCATGCTAAGCATTTTTATAATCCAAATATTTTAAGTTCTTTTTAATGAGCTTTTAAAAGTTACCTGTATTTTGTTGTTTCTTATATTTCTAAGGTAAGGAATCATTAGATTTTTATCATTTGCAAGTAGTCTTTCTGTTTGGTAATAGGCTACTAAACTTACTGGTATTAATTCTCTCCATTAAGGACCTCAGACAATAGTAGAAGGCCTTTCATAGCCCTCTGTATTTCCAATGTTGCTTTTATGCTTCCCTGGCAATTTGCTCAGTTCATACTTTTTACACAGGTAAGATAATTTTAAATTAATTTAATAGTTGAATGCAAGATGTACTTGATTCTGTAGAAGTTTTAAAATGTGATTATACTTACGCTGTAATAGATTTTCAAAATATGGAGTAATTATAAAGCTTATATACATGTGTAATCTTTTGAAAAATCATATACTTCAGCATTCCATTAAAGTACTGATTAGTTAGGCAGATATTAATGATCAACATGCAAAATACTTTTTCCTGTTATTTTAGTTCACAATTTTTCTCATTGGTATTTGAGATAATCTCTAGAAATCTGTCTGTAGATTTTCCTTTTGCCTTAGGAGTCATTTTAGTTGCCATCCTACTATAAAGGCCAATACTGCTTTTCATGGAGAAGTTTCTACTTCAGTCCAGCTAAATGTTGGCTGTTTGGTCTGAAGAGCAGAATATTACTGGGCACTATTTCTCAGAGCATTAGTAATGATATTAGTTGAGTGGACTGAGACCACATTCTTTCACTTCAAACAACTAAGTACCTAATGGCAAGAAACTGAGCTGGGGAAGCAGGAAGTAAAAAATCAGTTTTGATGAAATTTCATGATGCTAAAATTTTCCATTAGAGCTCCTCTCTACCTAATAATAAACAGTGATAATAATAATGTTCTTTGTTGGCAGTGAGAAATTTCTGCCAAGAAGCCTGTGCTACCAGTTATCTACAAAGAATGAAATTATAACCTCTACTTAATTGGTGCTGCATTTTAAAGCATAAGCATATTTAATATATTCTCTCTGCTTTCTTATAGTTGTCCCTTTCCGATTATATAATGGAAATTCTATCATTTTCATTATTTGCGCATGTCAACATTGTAGAATAGATTTCTAATGTGCATTACTTTCTTGCAAGCAAATTTATTAATCCAGTGGTGCTGATGAAACTATTTAAGTAGCTCTTTGGGTGATTTTGATATTGTCTTAAAAGATTTTCAGTCTGCTCAAAAGATGCACTAGGCTTTTAGTTTTTTTTAGTTGAGATATAATTGACATTTTATAAATTTAAGGTGTACAATGTGTTGATTTGGTACATTATTGTATTGCAAAATTATTACCCCATAGTGTTAGCTAACACCTCTATCAAGTCACATAATTATTATTTCTTTTCTGTGGTGAGAACATTTAAGATTTAGTCTATTAGCAACTTTGAAGTATTTGATACAGTATTGAATATAATTACTATGCTGTGCATTAGAACTCCAGAACCTATGCATCTTCTAGTTGCAAGTTTACCCTTTTCCAACATCTCTTATTTCTGCACCCCCAATACCTGGTAACCACAATTCAATTCTCTGTTTCTACAAGTTTGGCCTTTTTCGATTCCATATATAAGTGACAGCATACAGTGTTTGTCTTTTCTCTGTCTGACTTATTTCACTTAGCATAATTGCCTCAAAGTTATCTATTTTGTCACAAATGACAGGATTTCCTTCATTCTCATGGCTGAATAATATTCCATTGTGTATGTGTGTGTGTATACATATATATATTCATTGTGTGTGTATATACGTATGTATACATGTGCTCCACATGTATCTTCTTATCCATTTGTCCATTGACAGATACTTAGGTTGTTTCTGCATCTTTGCTATTGTGACTTAATGCTGCTGTAAACATGGAAGTGCAGTACCTCTTTGATGTTCTGTTTTGATTTCATTTGGAGATATATGCAGGGGTGGAACTTCTAAATCATATAGTAGTTCTTTTTTAAGTTTTTGAGAAACCTCCATATACTTTTTCCATAGTGGCTGCACAAATTTATATTCTTACCAAAGTGGCCTCAGGGTTCCCTTTTTCCTACATCCTCAACACTTGTTATTTCTTGTCTCTCTGATAATAGCCATTCTGACTAGTGTGAGGTGATACCTCTTTGTGAATTTCACTTCCATTTCCCTGATAATTAGTGATGTGGAGCATCTTTTCATGTGCCTGTTGGCCATATGCATGTTTTCTTTGAAAAAATAACTATTCAGATCCTCTACTCCTTTTTTAATGAGGTTTTTTTATTAAGTTCTTTGTGGTCTTTGTATATTTTAGATATTAATATCTGCTATATGGTCTGCAAATATTTTCTCTCATTCCATAGGTCCTTTTCATTTTGTTGATTATTTCTTATGCTGTGCCAAAGCTTTTTAGTTTGATTTAGCTCTACTTACTGAGTTTTCTGTTCTTGTTGTGCTTTTGGTGTTTAATGGTTCACAAGCTTCTTGGGTGCTTCCCAGGTCTAATCTGAAACTGGCCTTCATACATGGAGGTCAGGGAGAGACTGAAGAAAGAGGTGGGCCACTCGAGACTGGTATCAGGTTTAATAAGTAAGGGAATTTACAAGGATTATCGGGCAGTGACAAGATGAGTAGATCTCACTGCTCATCTGCCAAACCAGGTTTAGTCATGTATACCATCCAGTTGGTCTCAATGCACAATCACTATTTTAAGTCTGTGTCCTTGGGACAGCTTCTGGGAGTGGGAAAGGCAAGCACAACTGACATTCCAAGGACAGGGTTGCGGGGTGGGGTGAGAAGTCCCAGACTGTCCAACTTATGGCTCAACCGGTGGTTGTATCTTTTTGATGACCTTACCCAACTGTGTCACAATCTGAAAAATCATTACTAAGAGCAGTGTTAGGGAACTTATTCCCTATGTTTTCTTCTAGGAGTTCTACAGTATCAGGTCTTGTGTTTAAGTCTCTAATCCATTTCGAGTTAATTTTTTGTGAGTGGTGTAAGGAGTTCAGTTTCATACGAATATCTAGTTTTCCTAACCCATTTATTGAAGAGACTATCCTTTCTCTACCGAGTATTTTTGGTTTCCTTGTGAAATATTAGTTGACCATATATGCATACATTTATTTCTGGGCACTTGATTCTTTTTTGTTATATGAGTTAGTCTTTATGCCAGTCCATACTGTTTTGATTACTATAGCTGGTAGCCTAATAGGGGTTCCTTATAGGTTATAATCTTTTTTCTCTTCCTGCGTTTAGTATTCTCCCTGTCTTTGATTTTTGACAATTTCCCTATAGAATGTGTTAAAGAAGGTTATTTTCTATTGCAACAGTGGGGTGATATTATTAGTTTTGTGAACTTGGATGTCCAGTTCTCTCCCCAGGTTTGGGAAGTTCTCATTTTACATCTTTAAGTAAATTTTCTGCCTCCTGCCTCTCTTCTAGAACTCCAGTGATTTGTTATTTGATCATTTGTTGGCATTATATAGATCAGGTAGGCTTCTCTCACTCGTTTTCATTGTTTTTGTTCTCCTCTGACAGGTTATTTCAGAGTTCCTATCCTCTAACTCACCTTTCTGTCTTCTGTTTGATCTGTTTGAATGTTGATATTCTTTATTGCATTTTTCATTTCATTGATTGAATTCTTAAGGTCCAGAATTTCTATTTGTTTCTTTTTAATGATTTCTCTCTTTGTTAAACTTCTGATTTTGTTCGTGTATTATTATCCTGATTTCATTGAATTGCCCTTCTGATTTTTCTTGTATCTTGTTGACTTTCCTCAAAACAGCACTTTTGTCTATTGGGTGACTCATACGATTCTGTGTCTTTTAGTTCAGTTAGTAGAGGATTATTGAGGTTTTTTTTTAATGTCATGTTTTCTTGTTTCTTCCTATTCCTTAGAGTTTTGTGTTGCTGTTTTTTGCACTTGAGGTAACAGTCATGTCTTCCAGTCTTTAGTAATTGCCTTCGGGTGGGAGGTATTCTTTGTTGGTTCTACTTATATCTGGGGCTTTCTCTGACCTTGGATACACCTCCATGGATACACTTATTCCATGCTTCTTGCTCCCTCTTTGTGGCAAAACTATTAAGCGTGTATGCCTTCTAGACTTTACAACTCACTTGGCTGCCTGCTGGAGATCTTTTCTGTTTTCCAGAAGGTGGTACTACACCTCCAGTTTGTGGTTTCTCCCTTGCCCACAGACCCTGGCCTGTTTTCTGTGTGAACAGCTTGTCTGCTAGAGCTTGTTCACCAGGCTACCTAAAGGAGCATGCACAAAGAGCTGGCTGCAAGGTTGGGGAGATGTGGGTTTAATTAACACTCGGGGGGGGGGGATGTCAGGGGGCCTGTGGGCCAGGTAGGGATCCTTGAGTGAGTTTTTCCCAGCAGTTGTTGGGCTGGTTCCTACTGGAGTCCTTGAACACAGTCAGAAGGAACCACACCCTCTTAGTGCTCTCTGATGTTTGTCTCTCTTCAATTTTTTCCTTCTCCCAAGTCATGGAGATCTCACCTCACTACTCTGGGTGCTATGGGAGAGAAATGTTTTTACCCAAAAGTGTTCTGAACATTTGTGGAAGACAAGCCCTCACTCACCATTCTCCCTTTCTCTTGTGGGAGAGGTTGCTTTGGTCAGTTCAGCCTCTCACTGTGCCACATCTAGAGAGGGGCAGTGCTGGCAAAGTTCCTCTTATTTTCTCCAGGGCATTCAGACTTACGTATATATTTGCTTCAGTGGAGTGCTGGAGGATCTCCTTGGGAAGCCTAGAGTTCTACAAAGGCTCTGTCTTCTGTGGGTATCTGCCTGAGTCACCACTCTCCAGGTGTTCCCCAGCGTAGGCCTAGAGAGGGTCTGGGACCAGTTCACTCACTCCTACTGGTTCCACAGCCTGTACTGAGGTCTGTCTGCTCTCACCCAATGCATAGTTGGGCAGGACAACTCCTAGGACCCTTGGCATATGATGGTGAATCTCACAACTCCCACAGAGGCTCTTTTATCTGTAGATGGATACCAAATTTTAGTTATTAAAAGTAGGGGTGAAAAGGAGACATCTTATGCAGCCATGATTGAAAGGAAAGGAGCGACACATAGCAGCAATTCACCGGAGAGTTCCGCTTTATTAGGGAAAGGTGCTGGGTTATATAGGAAGGGGCATGAATTGATTGAGGTGTCACTTCTACGGGGCTGGTGGCTGTTGGCTAGGTGCTGGGATTGGGAGGGGAGCGAGAGGTGTTTGGGCTTCAGGTGGCGCCGGCGGGAACC